GAAAAACCCTTCTTCCTGTGGCAAGGCTAATCCTCTTCCAAGCGTCCCCAAATAGATGCCATGAGGCATGCTGGCTAATACGTTACACACGCTTGTTGCAACGGTCGGAAGAGTAAGAAACACCCCAAGGGGGACGGGCGAAAACTGACCCTGTGGACCTAGATGCCCCTGCAACTGCAGTAGGCGGCATGTTGGCGGACGGCGACCCTCGGGAAGAAAGCCTGATTAAGACGAAATCCCGGGGGCAACTCGTGCGCCGTCTGTGCTGTCTCTACCAGGCTGCGCGCGTCGCACGGAATAACATGGCCAGGGTTGCGCCGGCGTGACCTGCCTCGGTCCTACAAGGACAGCGGAAGAATTCCTCATTATTCTTACGGCCTGGGTCCAACATGCGCCTCCCAAAATATAAATTCCTGCCTGCGACCTGGCGGAAGTTCTCTAAAAGGTTACACTACAATACACAAAGTGGATTCAAATTCTACCGCCGGAGCTGCGTGCGCGAGGATGAAAATATCGCCCACATGTCTGTAACGCGCGTTGCCTCTGAGAGTCGTTCCCACTCCAGTATGTGGCAGCTACATCATAACCAAGTGCTTGGACATGTGTTCGTCGCTGCTATCGCGGACGATTAGGGCGTCCTATAAACCAGGTAAATGAAGTCGTAGGCTTCCGCGGCCCGAGTCATTTCCCGGCATACCAACCCTGAGGAAGACCACGGCAAGATGGTCGAAATGTCGGCAACACAGCCTTCGACGCGGCGTTACTCGGACAGCCGAGATCATGAGGTGTATAAACCAGGTAGTTCCGCAGGGGAGCAGTCCTGACTTGGTGATAGCGAAGAGCTACATCGCGATCGTGCATGATGCAGAGGTTGCGATGGTATACAATGGGCGTATGTTTAAGAGACATGAGAGAAAAGCTAGAAAATACGTGTACTTCCGCACGATGCTCCTGGGCCAGCGCTACCGGTCGAAGGAGTTTCTCCCTGTGGAGGTGGGGTCTGGTGTGGTGACACGGACGCCACTCTAAACAAATTGTCTCCGGTGTCAAGTTTAAAAAATTACGTGAACGGATTATCGCCGATGCCATTTCGGGGAGCACCGCATGTTATTACAGTTATGACCAAAACAAATTAATTTCGTAAAACATTTCGTGATTTATTCGCAGTTGCCGAGCATACAGAGAAAGCTGTTAATATGCGTAGCCACAAAATAGCCAGGAGATTTACCGGGGACGTGCCAAATTTACCAAAAGCCGAAGAGATGTCCAAACAGGTTTGCTTGGTCACGATCCAAATACCCAAAGAGAAGTTCTTAATACTGGCCGGAGCATAGTCACTCAATAAATTGCACCCTCATAGCTCGCACTATGATGGGACGACTGGAACTTGGCTCACTATACCCGGTCAGGGCTGAAGGCTCGCCGACTGGCCCGGTCGTATGGCCAATGGCGCGCGCTCCGCGTGACGGCCCTGCCGAGTCCGACCTCAGCGACCTCCCGTGAGCGGTGCCCGTATTTTCCGGAGCGCCGCCGCCTCGCTTCTGCACCCTGGTGCCGGGTCTTTCAAAGGGGCGCGGGCGACTACAATTACGCTCACAGCAACCAGACAGACCCGGTGCCTTTTGAGTACCGGGCATGTGTCTCCACACGGTCTAGGGGGCGACAGCAAGCTTCTGCCCTCCCCGCCCCGGAGCCGTAAACATCGAACCTGCTCTGAGGTGCACCGCCGACCATAGTGATTCTACTCGTCAAGCCTGTGAAGGAACAATTGTACGAGTGCCTCCCCAGGCGGTACTGTAGTGGGACGTTAGTGAAGTGCGACGTAGTGTGACATAGCACTTGAGAGCACTATGCGAACAAATAGTGCAGCAATTGCTTGCTGTACCCATAAGAGCCAGTGGCAAGTCGAGCTGACAGACTATTAAGACCTCGCAAATAATGAGTGATTCATAACGCACAAAATGTAAATAGCATGTTAGAATTGAGCGTAGACAACAGAATAGTTGTGAGTTTAAGTAAAATAGATATTAAGCATCCTCATCATAATACAGTCCACTCCGGTTATAGTGAACACAGATATAGTAAATTCTCGGTTATAGTGAACTGGTACCATTTCACTTACATTACAAATAAGCATAAGAAGATTCGGTTATAGTGAACTATTAACCTCGGCTGTCGTGAACATTGTAAATACAACGTTCTGGGAATGAATTCTTTTCTGAAAAAATAAATCGCCTCAATGCCACAAATTTCAACTCTAGGCAGCTTGCAAAAAAATTGTCTGCGAAGATGTCTCTCTTGAGGTGGAGGTAACGGTCTCAGAATGAGGAATTTACAGATGACCTCGTGACACTCTGTTTCACTGTGTAAAAAAGGCCGTGACCCGCGTGGTCTACAAGTGGCGGTGGCGACGCAAGACTGCTTGCTTCAGTTGCAAGCTTGATGTTACTTGAGATTCCGCGCGACAAAGCGCGAGGTGTTCTACATAGGCGACAGGAAGCACTCCTCCTCACCCTCCACATCCTCAGAGCTTGGAGACACCCGCCGCGCCGCGCGGAAAAGCAATCGGTTACAAATGCGCTTGCGCCATACCGCTACCGAAAAGACCTCGAATGTATTTACAGCGAGTACAGGCGTATTCAAATTATTAGACTAAAAACATTTTTCGTAAAAGATTTGCATTTATTACACGTTTACGTTCGTATACATGCTACAGTCATACTTTTAATACTTACTGTTAGTGTGCGTGCCTTTTTTCTTAATCAACAACTTTATCCTGTTTGGATTAACGTTTACCAACTTTTCACCTGAGTTTTAACTTTCATCGTCGCGGTACCAATCTCCTCTAATTTGTCCACGACTTCTTGTATATTTCCTTATTCTTCTCTTGGTAATACCCCTTAAATTGTCTATGGGTTTCGAGTCACAGCTAAACCCTGGCCATGTTAACACTTTAAATTGATTTTATTCCAAATTCTTGAAGATAATTTTGTCTTTGTGGCATTGTGCTTCATCGTGCATAAAAATGCCATCTTCATTAGGGAACCACTCTAATTTGGAGAAAAAGTTTCTTTTCAATGATTTTTTTATATTGGTATTGCCTCATTGTCCCTTCTACAATGTGCAATCTGCCAGGACCTTTTACAGATATCACTCTTAACAGCGTTTCTCTCCGATTATATAATTGAGCTTAGAAAAGACATTCTTTAGTCTAATATTTTGAACACGTCTGTAAAAGGGCCTGTAGAGAGAGACGGTCAGTACACATAAGAGGCGCATCCTGAGGGAAAGAAACGTTTAGTGAAATTTGAATATTGACATTTTCAGTTGGTTCTGTTAACGTATTTTGCTGTATCTCTATATTAATAAATCAATTATTGTGGAAAAACTGTTTAATTTTGACATCATCGGATATAGTGAACCTGTTATAGTGAACCAAAAATGTTAATCCCCAGAAGTTCATTATAACCGAGGTCGCCTGTACTATATAGAAAGCATCTGATTAAACAAATTAGAAGAAAAAATGAAGCAATTTTTGAAAAAAAATTAATGTCCCAGGGTCTTCATTTTAAGTGCCCCCAAAATTTAATGAATTCTTTTCAAAGTTGCAGCGCATTAAGACAGGTCACATCGATTGGGAAATTTTGCTTTTGGCACAAATACTACCAATAGTTTAGGTGTAAATGTTATTCACGGCCGAACGTTAAAAAAACAGTTTTTTCGTTGTTAATGAATCACAAAATGTGAACTCTGTCTACGCTACGTATTAGAGAAAGTAATTTACTGCACGGAGGAGCAAGATAAATTCTCTGTTACGGAATTGTCCATTTTCGTTTCAACAACTTCCTAGAACAAATCTTCACACCATCTCTGAGATATTTCTCTAATAGATATATGACAATGACTTGTGCAGGATAATATTGAAACCAAAATATGTTTCCCTGTAAACAGAGTGAAGTTTTATTCACTTTTATCAACTATTATTTACATTATACAAAAACTATTTACAATAATGTGTTCTTACCTGTAAACAGAGAAACGACAATTCAAGCTTACTACTACCGCTTCTCTATTTACTCTTATTCTCTATTTACCACTTATTTTAATTACGATATATCTTTCACATACACTTTCTATCAGTACTCCTGCCTATCTAAATTTCTTCTAATGATCGTATTCTCATTCCATCTAGCGGTCCTTAGTCAAAATACGTGCTAAGCGTGGGAAGCGCGGCCTATTCAAATTGAAGGAAATATCCTTTACACACACAAGAATATATATATTCTTGTGTGCAGATTTGTTCTTGTAATTTGTTGAAACGGAACCGTCAATTTATTGCACTTCTAGCGTCCACTGGTTCTTGTCACCTCTTTCAGCAACTTTGTAACTTTGGTTTCAACAAGAGGTTCGTCATTCCGGTAAACTGAGTTGGCGTATGTGAGCGTGCCTGTCGTTTTGGTGTTCGCATATGTGCCTGTGGCGTGAGCATGCCACTGGCCTCGAACCAACTCGGATACCCGAAACGCCAGCCTTCGGCTGGCTGTAGCTGACCATATACTTTGATGAAAACATTTAATTCCGTTAACACTTGATCAGCTGCGTCGTTGTTATCCAATCGGGAACTTGAACGTCACCATAATGACGCCGCTATAGTGACGTGTGGATGACAGCGTCACAGCTGATGAAGTCAATATTTTAATCGAAGTTTATCAACTCAGTATATCGGCGTCTCGCGGGCACACGTGCTGCGCATGTGCTGAAGGCTCCGACCGCCAAGCCAGGGTCTTCCTCCTATGACGTGAAAGTTATCAATTATGCGGGATGTTCAAATCGCAAAACCTCGAAAGCCAGCCGTTGAACGTGCAAGTTGTGAATTGGAAAATTATCAATAAGTACATTATGAGGTAATGAGAACAGTTTTTGTTTTTGATTAAATGTTGGGGTAGCCTCCCCCTTGCAACCTAGGTAGCTACGCCACAGCTAACAATAGTACAGTATACTACGGCAATTCTTATTGCAAAGTGATACAGCGTATTAGAATCCTAGATAGTTGTTTGTTTTTTGTTGTTGTTTTTGTACAAAGTCTATTTCATGCAGTTGTCGCAATGCAGAACTAACATAAAAACTTGTGTCTATTGGAAATCACTATTGTGGGCGTTACTGAATGATGACCCAACTCAAACTCAACAACAATCAGCAAAAACATTAAATGTGTCACATGAAACAATGAACAGCCGTTTATCAGCAATGGGGAAGATCAATAAACTCGGTAAATAAGTCCCACATGATTTGAACGAACGACATATGCATGACAATGCACCGTCTCACACATCAAGACCAGTGACAGACATCTTTAAATAGCTTGGATTAGACATCCTTGCGCACCCGCCGTACTCCCCCGACCTGGCGCCATCTGACAATCACCTCTTTGAGTTGAATTTGCCTTATTTTACGTGGCGAGACTCGGGCCATTAGGCCCGCTCTTCGTTCTGGACGCAGCTACGCTCCTTTCATCACCTATGCAGAGAAAGGTTATTTTCCTGCGAGGAACAGGCAATTTGAAATTTAGCTCAAGGCAGGTCGTCAATTTAGGCTTGAGCATCTTTACAGATGCAGTAAATCCTACAAACATGGGACAGCCGGCTTTACTTCCCCTCCGAAGGAAGGTGTATGAAGGATTTTGTCGCCGAATCCACGGCTTCGATCGGGTTTGAACCCGCGAGCTTGGGCATAACAGTCCGGTACGCTAACCGTTACACCATCGCCGCCGCGTTACACCATCTGACCATCACCTCTTCGCACCAATGGGGCGCTCGCTAGCGCTCGCGCTCGCAGAGCAGCACTTCAGCAATTTCGAGGAAGTTGGAAAATGTCTCGACGAATAGTTTGCCGCAATATACAATCATATTTTTCTGACATGGTATTCGTAACTAACCTGAAAGATGGGCGAAGTGTGTAGACGCCGATGGCTAATATTTTGAATGAACAAAAAATGAATTTCCCTTGAAAATTGCGTGTTTTCTTTACCACAAAAACTTATACATACACCTGGTAGACTCGCGAGCTCCCACTGACTAATATGCCAAGGGCGGATCCAGCCGATCGTTTTGGAGGGGGTCATCATAGACTTTTTTAAAAATAATAAACATCTGTTATTGTATTGTGTATTATTTTTGTACTGTATGTATGATACAATAATTTAAAAATAATTACATAATTATAATATAAATAAAAATTTAAATCTTAATAATAAATATTTAAATATTTAAATTTTGCCAAATATAAGAAGGCAACAAGCGCAAACTGTAGGCGTTTTTTGGGAACATGCCCCCCCCCCCAGGATACGCCACTGAATATGCCTAATTATATCACTGCATACTTTCGACATAAATTCACGCAAGATATCTAAACGCAAAACGCGGTATTTGGCTTTCAATTGGTGACCTAAAAGGCGCGCACAGTGATGTACTTGATTGTCATCCATTTCCAATACTTTCGCTGCAGGAGTAGCATGGTGGACAGACGGGGTAGTTAATATCGAGTTTTCAATTGGGATCACAGAGCATGTTTGCAGACATGTTTTCATTTGGTTAGGGTGCCCTCCGAACCACAACCCCTGGGCTATTCCACCTTTTCACCATTTTAACATTTTATTTATAATATTATTACGCAATGTAATACAAACAATAACCATATATTTGATCAAATCAAATTCTAAAGGAGTATTCCCATTATTAACGCGCATTTGATAACATCATTTCAAAGTTGTTAACGTTTGATCACATTATTTCAAGGTTGAAATTAATATTCTGTATTACTATTTTAGTTTTTTTATGAGGTTGATAATCCGCCTCTGTGCGCCACTGGGTATTTAACTATTGTTTTGTATGAGCGATATCATTTTCAAGGCGAGTTCATTATCTTCGACTGTGGAGTCACACACTATTTAAAATATTCCGCATTTTAATGCTGTCATGTGATTTCGTAATGGAGTATTACTATAGCGTAGTATAGGATGGATGGATATTATCTATGAACATTAATCTATGGGGAAAAAAGATCGTTTGGCGCGTGGTAATCAAATGAAAGATGTTTAGATTCGTTGCTTGGCAACCAATCAAGAGGGAAGACTCAAGGGAAGGGGTGAATATCCAGTTCTGCGGTTTGGAGCTTATATCTCTCATGCTGATCAGCTGTTATCACCTTCCGATGTGCTCATATGTTCGTATTCGAAGAGCATTTGATGTTCATAATTCACGGTCGAGATCCATAGCTCTATGAGTCCAATATAGAATGATAATAGAACAAGAAACTACTTTTAATACATTGGCACTAGAAGAAAGTGTTGCGCACAAATGAAGATATAAGTAATATGGTTATGTTCGTGTTTACATGAAAAACAAGTCGAGAAGAAATAGAGCGAGGTACCGTTGCAACTGATAAGAAAGTTTCTGAAAACATTGAAAGTGAGATTGCGCATGATGAGTTGTTCGCGAAACGATAACATTATCGTTTATTATCGTGCTTATGTACTATGTTAATAAACTTTTCTATTAGAGATTGGGTACCGTTCTAATGTTTTTCTTATTTCAGTTGGAAATGGTATCAGTAGTCCCATTGTTTCGTGGAAAAAATGGATTATAAATCGCCTAACCCTCTAATTACGAAAACGGTACTTAATGCAGGTACCAAAAATGCAGAATTTTCCAAGGGAACAAAAGTAAATAATAAATTAACTCTTCAATACCTATATATAAATTAGAGAATAACTTTTAAATATGTTATGCTTTCTCTGCACATGTTAGTGGTCACAAAATACAAGTCAATAACAATGTGCTAATGCAATGATAATTACTTTTTCCAGGTGTATTTTCATTTTCAAACCAGAGCATGTGATGACAATGGGACTGTCATTGATGACAGTCGTAAAATGGGAAAACCAATGGAACTTGTTTTAGGCAAGAAATTCAGATTTGAAGTATGGGAAACTATCGTTCAAATGATGGCTGTGAATGAGGTTGCGAAATTCAAAGTAGATAAAAGTGTAAGCACATTTAGCTTGTTCTTATGTAAATAATACCTTGATAGATGATTTAAGGAAAGAGGTAATTTAGTGTTGTCATTATGCCAATCAGAGTACTAATAATACTATTAGACAAAATTAACTTTTTTATGGGAACCATTTTGAATTTTATTGTTTCAAATTAAATGAAAAAAATCTGATTCATAAGTAAACCTGATAAATTAATTACATTTGTAAAAATCTTTCATAAATAATATATTAATAAATATGTGTAAATGTTTTGCTGTCTTTGTTATTCTAGCCAAAATTTGAAAATTTGATGTAAATGATAAGTTGTTATGAGGCGAAAATATACTAGAAAAAATTAGGATGTGAATACTTTTTTGACTTACGTGCTTTTAACATTAATCTAGAGAAGGTATTATAATGTAAATTTTTGTGTGAGAGGTTTCTATTTTTAATGTAATGGAATGTGTAGAATTGTTTTAAGTTTGTTACCCGGTTTTTATATATTACTTTCATATACCATGTTTCCTGTTATTTTATAATATATTCTTGAATGTTATTGTCACATGTTATGATCAGTTGGATGAAATAATCTAATATATTTGAAATTGAACATCAGATAATTTTACTGAAATTGTGAATGTTATAAAGATTGAAATTAATGCCTATTGTGTAGAATTTGTTAGTACATGAGCCATTGAAAGTTGTTTTTTTTTTTAGTGTCCTGTGTGCTTATTGTTAGAAACATTTAGTGTACTTTTTGTGTGTGAATTTTTGAAAATTTTGGTGCCCATAACATATAAATATTTAAATGCGGTATTTCTAAAATTATATTTTTGTTAACTACTTAAAATTCTTAATAATGCTGCCAACTATCTTAATGAATCTGGATGTTGCTAATATTGCATAGTATAGAATAATCAGACTATGTATTTAACTATCAGGGTACCCATTTGTTTTCTTAATGTACATTGTACAATTTAAGAAAAACTGAAAATTAGTGTCAGCATCATTGTTGTAGATTGACCTTGCAAAATGAAGGCATTAACCATGCAGACTTATATCAATTAATTAAGTAGCCATGCCACTTGGAATTTATTATAGATATTGAAATTTATTTTTGTGATATAGATAATCAATTTTTCTGTGAATGGTGCTAATCTGTACCATTTAGTTGTTAATAGTTTTATTGATGTTTTTGTTGAAAAATAAATAATTTTAGAAATAGAAAATGTTTAAAACTTATGCTCTTAAACTAAGTTGAATTTTATTGAAAATTTCTTTGCTGTTGTGTGTAAAACTTCAGGACTTAATATTTTTGTAATGATGAGTTAGTCCTATGTTTTTGCTTTCAGCTTGTATCAGGCTATCCATTTGTTTCTAAAACATTGCGTGATGTAGGAAAACCTGAGAATCAGCGTCAGCATCATTGTTGTGGACTGACCTTGCAAAATGAAGGCATTGGCTATGCAGATTTAAATCAATTAATTAAAGAGCCGTGTGACTTGGAATTTATTATAGGTATTGAAATTTTGTTGATGTTTTTTTTTTTTTGGTATAAAAAAGTTGTTTTTTTTGTAAATCTGTTAATATATTTCAAATTGAAATTACTTTTCAGACTTGTAAGTGTAATATCTCCTGAAGAATATGAAAAAGAATCTTGGCAAATGAGTGAAGAAGAAAAATTGAGTGCTGTACCATTACTTCGCGAACAGGGTAATAACTTGTATCGGGACAAGAACTATGCTGCTGCAGCTGCCAAATACGCACAAGCTATTGGAATGTTAGAACAATTGATGTTGAGGTTTGTATTACCTTTTGGCCACAAACAAAATTTATTTTCTAGGTCATGAGATTGAGTCAAAGAAATTGCTTTATACTCATGAAAAATGAAAGAAAAGTTGATGGAGAAAAGTGTTACAAGAGCAATAATGTGAGGGCAAAACTAGAACTAAGATTTGTTTCAATGTTTTGGACATATTCCAGAACCCCTTTAGCCATTTGTGTTTTGCATTAAATACCATTATGTTGTAGTTGTATTAAGTTCATGACAAACAAAAATTATCTAAAATCATTAGTGCATTTCAATTTTTCACAAGTTCGACCACAAGGGTTTTGTACGATTGTCACAACTCTATGAATTTCATTCAACTGTGTTTGTAGTTTTCAATATTGTTGGGTAGGCTGTATTCGTATGAAATAGAGTGATTACTAGCCTCTATATTTCATAAGGAAAATGTTTGTCCAAAAAGAACCAGAAAATGGAGAAAAACAATGTCAAAAAAGAACATTGAAATGGAACATTAAAAGCCAAAAAATGTATGATTTTTTTTTTTGTCTTTCATTCGTTATAACCTTCTGTAGTCCTCAATTAAGATTGCTTACTAAGTGACAGAAGTAGAAGGTTCGAATTATTGAATTTTAATGGCCCGTCCTGTCTAATATGGGACCTTTGGTCATCTTGTTTTAGAGAGAGGCTTGGTGCACAGGACGCTGATCAGTGTTAGATTTCTGGAAATCTTTTTCAATTCTGTTGCTAAGTTGAGTGCAAACTAAACTACTTCACAATAATCTTCAAGCTAGATTCAGGTTAGATCAACAAAGTGGATATGTAACTTTTATGACCTATTATTTTTATTTTTCATGAATGGATTATAGTCAGCAAAGGTAGATGAAAAAGAGAAGTCCTTGTATTTGTTTCTTGAACTGATTACATGAATGTTGGGTGTTTAATACCACCAATATTATAAAGTTGTGCAAAGAACTGGGTGGTTTTCTAATGTTGTAGTGTTAATTTGAAATCAAATAAATATGAGTACTCTAGAAATTATTGTAGTTTTGGTTTACTTTTTTGGGTTTTCTATAATTTTGAAATTGTTCTTAGAACTCGGTTTCACCTCAAAGCTAAAATCACTGCTTTTATAATTTTTAACAAAGCACAGCACATGAAAAGCAACATTAATTTTTTTTTAATAACAGAAATGAAATAGATAACTTTATTTGTATAATTCTCTTTTGTAATGTACAAGAATTTTCTGTAATATTAAACAATAAGCTTTAGTGAAAATGTATGTTTGCCAATTACTTTTGAAATTTAAATCACTAAAAAAATAGCCCTTGCCATGATGAAGCTACCATTATGTCTTTTTTCCTAATTTTCTCTCAACTTTAGGAGTGAGTGAGAGTGTGTGTTTGTGTGTGTGAATGAATGAATGAGTGAGAAGTAGTTTCTTTTTATAAAAGTAAGAGTTCTACTTATGCCTTTTTTTCTTCTTTCTAAAGACAGTCTCCACTTCAGTCTCCATAAGTTTCACTACCCTTTCTTGGATTGAATTTGCTAGTATATTCTCACAATTATGTGGCGTATTGCATTGGTTAGGTCTTCAGAATCTCTAAAGCATTACCTGAAGTGTGTTGGTCAAAATGGAATTGGGTGAGGGGTCAGGACTATCTTATCAAAATCTATGAATCTTATCAAAAAACAACAGTTGTGTTTTCAAATTCAAGTGAATAGTGAATGGGATTACAGGATTACTAATACAATAATTTATTTTAATGAATTATCAGGGAAGGTGTAGATAGTTCATCATATCAATTTATTAAATATATTTTTTATACGTCCCATAAAAAATGTGCCCTTCCAAAGTTTATTTTGTAGGAGTTATACTATGATATTGCATAATTCAAGTATACTGCATTTATGGTTTCATTTATTCTTAATAATTGGCTTTCAAATTTGCAATTTATTTTTTCTTTTTTGTAGTGAAAAACCTGGTGATGAGGAGTGGAAAGCTTTGGATCAGATGAAAGTACCTCTTTTGTTAAATTTTTCTCAATGTAAACTTCTTGAAAAAGACTATTATGCTGTAATTGAACACTGTAATACTGTTCTTAAAAGTGACCCAGGTAAGTCTGCATATGTTACTTAGATTCAGAAATTTCCAAAAAACTGGTTTAAAATGGTTTTCTTATAAAGTGGAAATTAAGAACCAGAAGTTCCTTTCAATTTGCCCATTAACAAATGTAATAATGAGATTTAATGATTGGCACTTTATCGCCTTTTTTCTAGTTTTGAATTCATCTTTTTCCATATTTTTCTTTCAATTATCAATTGATACTTGGTACTAAAAGATTCTGCCTGAAAAATGAAGAACTAGATCAAGCAATAATGCCCCGAGCAATTATTTTAATTTAGACACATTTTTTTAACACATTTTCATTGAATTTCAAATTTTGCCATAACACAAAAGAATTTCTTTCAGATGTGACTGCACAAATACACCATATTTTTGTGATATTAAAACATAAAAAATAAATATTTTATTGCTCTTTTAGATACTTTGCAAAAAAAATTAATTGTGAAATTTAAAATACCTTTGTAACTAGTTAAACAAATATGATCCAGTATTAAAGTACA